GTCTGAGAAATTGAAACAATTAAAGACAATGTTGCGAATAATAAAAGTCTTATCCTTTTCAATAAAGATGATCAAGCCTGGATTAAAGGATAAGGTGGATCACTATGAGAAAAAGATTGTAGATTTGATTCATGCAGAACAAGAAAGTATAAAAAAATCTCAGACAAATTCAAGATCAGTCTCGTGATAATATTTAAACAAATAATTAAAATGTAGAAACACAATTTTTAAGATACGGCAAAATTGAATATTGCTTAGATTAATGATAAAAAACAATTACAAAATAGCTTTGAATCGATACCAAAATTACGATTAACGATGAACGGTTTCTGGGGAGGCGAGACACTTTTTCTTTAATTCTTTAATTCTTTAATTGCCCGTAGTGTGCCGGTTTTGATGCAATCAGAATCTCATAATACAACCACACAATCAACTATTCCGAAACACTCGAGAATAGAAATTAACGAACCAAGAATTTATGTGTACTCTCGTATACAAAACCAAAACTAAAAATAAAAGAGAAGAAGAGATTGTGAGGGAATGCTTTATGTTGTGTCTATGTGTTTTTTCGTGAGAAGGACGATGGCTTCTTATATAGTCCAAGTGCTCGACACAAGCAACAAAGAGGAGACAAGAGATTTTATTCTCTTAGTCAATGTAATTGATTTGTTTAACGTTATCAAAATCTGACCATTGATTTCTCAATTCACGTTACAAGCACAAATCAATTAAAGGAGATATTAGTTGTTTTTAAACTAATTATATAATTTAAAAATGATTTTGACCAAAAGAATTAATCTTTTGGGCCATTAATCCATTTTTTCAAATTCTAAAACTCAGAACCAATCAGTTCGAATATCTCATTTCTCCAATACACCAAAGTGTATGAGTTCTCCCCTTAATATATAAGAGATAATTCATCTCTAATTTTCAATGTGGAACATTTGCTAGTTTTTTCTCTTAACCAAATTTCAAAACTTTTCAACCTTTCTTATTCATCCACATTGGACCTCTATTTCTTATTCAAACTAACTCCGCTTTTGATAATTAGATACATTATCTTATAATGCTCACGGCGACGATTTCATCGTGCCCAAAATCCGGTCATCCCGACGAATGTCTCCACCGAAAAATGGTCTAAAACCATTTCGTCAAAACGAATTCCAACACAAAATACCCTTGTGATGTGCTTCCTTAATTTGAACATCATCCTTAATGATGTTGAATCTTATCAATGCTCTGTTTCTAACATAATTATGTCATGTCCATATGAATAAAGACCTTTTAAAAACAATTGTGAATAAGTTTTCTTCGAATTATCAGTTCTCTGTTTCTAACATAATTATGTCATGTCCATATGAATAAAGGCCCTTTTAAAAACAATCGTGAATAGGTTTTCTCCGAATTTCCCATCTATGTTCTTAGTTATGAGCTAAGAGAACAAGTGTATGTTTGTCGTGATTCTCTCTTAACAAACAAATGCTCTAAATAGTAAACAAATCAAAGGATTTATTGGAATATAGATAAATGAAATGTAAATGAATGGAATAAAAATAATAATAGAATGAATCTATCCTATTTATTCCACAACAAAATTTCATAGGGATATTTTTCTTTAATTTTTTAGTGGAATAAGAGGAATGTTTATTTCATCCGATCCCATCTACTATGAATGGTAAATTTTTTTATAAATGCTTTATTCCACAACATTTTATTCAGAAAATTAGACATCTATTTGTACCCAAATTGTGTGATTAAATGTGTTTTATGACTTCGATGAGAGAAATATAACCATTGATTATAGGGTTGGACAAAATATATGTTAGTTTTGTTTCAGCGTTTTATGATTCAATTCGATCCCAACAAATATGGTTAACCGTAACTGTACAAAGAAAAAAAAAACAGCAAAAACTAAAAATGTATATCTTTTAAGAAAAACAAATACAAAACCTAAAATCCCATCTGAACAACATGAGCAACAAGCATCACTATAAATTCGAAAAAGTCTTTAATTATATAACCAGTAAGGTTGGGTCGCCTTATGTTCGAGAATGATTACTATTAATATTTTCTT